TCATGTATAAATCATGTATATCTGGTGTGTCGACGTACTATCCCATATAGTACTAAGCTGTGCTCATCAACGACATCCAACATGTATATGAACTATATATAATTCAAATATGATCAAATCAAAATTCATCATAATCCCCTTGGGATTCTTAAATATATAACATAACATATTTATGACTATACGTATAACAACAAGTGGCTCAAAACTTCGTGAACGCACCACAAAACGGCGCAACACAGCTCCACAAAACGAGCAGAAAAAATAGATGTGATATCTGTTAGTAAAATAAGCATATCTTTTTCTAAGAAAACTATTTTTACAAATAGTTTTCTATTTTGAAAACTAAATTCACACATCTTTCAAATAACATAAGTTTGGTTCAGTTTGGAGTTTATTTGTTATCCCAAATCTCTAGTTAAACATTATATATGTGTAGCCATTTTTCTACAGGACATGTTGTTAGTAAAAATATCATATCTTTCTCTATACAAATGATTTTTAAGAATGGATTTATATTTTGAAAACTAGATTCACACATAATTCAAATGACATAAGTTTGGTTCCATTTGGAGTTCATTTGTTATCCCAAATCTCTAGTTAAACATTATATATGTGCAGCCATTTTTCTACAGGACATGTTGTTTGTAAAAAGATCATATCTTTCTCTATACAAATGATTTTTAAGAATGGTTTTCTGTTTTGAAAACTACATTCACACATATTTCAAATGACATAAATTTGTTTTAGTTTGGAGTTCATTTGTTATCCTAAATCTCTAGTTAAACATGATATAATTGCTGCAGTTTTCTGCAGAAAATATTTATTTAGTGCATCTCTTAAATTTCTCATATATAAATGAAATTATAAAAAATCCTAATTATCATGATCATGATACTATCATAAACAGCAAGAAAAAAATTACTAATCATTATAAGATTCAAGCATGAAAACTCATATTCAACATCATATTAAACATCTAACTAGTTATTTAACTATGGGGAAGGGTTTGGATGAAGATAATCTTGCCTTAGATGTTTTTCTAAGCTTATGAAATAACCAGCAACTAAAAAGAAGTACAACCAAGCTGTTTTCCCCTTACTATACGTTGATGATCTCGCCCTCGTGTCGATATTTGCTTCACAAAGCTCTCAAAATTCTCAACTTTAGGGCTAGGGATTCAGAGAGAGGAAGAGGGGTTGCTAGGGTTTGAAACTCTGATGTAAGAATGTTAATTTTTATGAAAACAAATGTTTATACATATGCAAACCCGAAATAAACCCGTTTGACCCGAACCAGGAATCCTAATCTGACTAGGAAAATAACCTTTTTGACCCGAACCAGGAATCCTAATCTGACTAGGAAAATAACCTTTGGTATTTTAGCCATAACTTTCACATCTAACATTGGAATTAGGTTATCTAAGAATTTTTGGAAAGCTCTGGAAGATACCTACAGGTTTTGTCTTTTACGTTTTTCCAAATTCCAACTACATCTATAAAAAAAATACAAAATCTCTCCGCTAGTCATAAATTTCCAGATTTATACATCGAGCATGAATTGTGCATTTGTTCTTATATATATATATATATATACATATATACATTGAATTGATCTCAAACCAATTCCTAGCATACTCAAACATCATAATATGTTATTTATAAATATATAATATATTTATTATTATTTATCATAAAATATTCAAATTTTTGGGGTTTTACGTTCAATATATCAGCGAAGGCTGTGGGTATTGCCTTTGTGGCACATTTTCATCTTTCTTTTGATTTACCACCAAAGACAGAAGTTGAGACTCAATTCATGCTGAGAATCCATATGCGAGCGCAATAGGTAGTATGATGTACGCTATGGTGTGTATTTACGCTGACATCACATATGTTATTAGCGTGGTGAGTTCATTTATGGAAAAACTAGGAATTACTAGAAAGAAGTAAGTGGATATTATGATATCTCAGAGAAACAATAGATGTTGGTCTAGTTTATGGCGGAGATGGTACAAAGTTGAATGTGACTAGATATGTTGATTCGGATTATACAGGAGACTTGGATGAAAGGAAGTCATTGACAGGCTACAATTTCATGCTTGGAGTTTTTATGCCAGATGGTACAAAGTTGAATGTGCTATCTACTACCGAGGTGGAGTACATGACAATGACAGAAGCGGTGAAGGAAGGAATCTGGTTGAAAAGTCTTGTTAGCAACATGAGTCTTCCTTAGAAGAAAGCTATAATGTTCTATGATAGTCATGAGTGTTATATGTTTTATGACAGATTAAGTCATTCATGAGAAGACGAAGCACATCGACGTAACATATCACTTTTTGCAGTCAGAGAAGCAAATTAAGGTGAAGAAACTTAATGCCAATGATAACCCAAAGACATGATGACCAAGCTAGTTCTAGTTTAAAAGTTCATGCATCGTGTGGATTTACTCGACATCATGAGACGGTGATAGCTTCGTGAAAGAGAGTCTGATAGATCATTGTTCCCACTTGTGTGAGTTGTAATTTTTCTTCTTATTTAATAAAAGTTTATGATCTATTGTTGTTACCTGTGGACGTAGGATATGCTCCGAACTACGTAAATTATTTTGTTTGTGCTTGTGATTCTTTTATGTGTTTTATTAGGTTATTACTTTGTAATTTTTGTTTCAATCTCATTTTCCACAGTAGTTCACATATACTCTATGGTCATCTTTCTAATCATTTATGCCTTGTTTGATATGCGAAAATGGGTGAAAATAGAATGCACATTCTCACTTCTTATTCATGCATATCACACACTTGATTGTTGTTTCACAGTTCTCATCCCTTGCCATATTTAGTAGGATTCCCCACATTTATTGCGAATGAGCATGCTTAATTAGATGGTAGAGAATGGGGTTACCACTTAAGTGAGCATCAAAAAATCATACTAGATTCTGAATATACTTTGATTCCATGTACCAAACGAGACACATAGTAATAGAAATTGAGAAGAGAATATCGAATATATTTTTTCCTTTATTTTATGATGATTTCAAGAGTGACTAAATCCCAAGTCTTTAGATTCCAGCTAAAATCAGCGTACTTACATAGGATTAACCAACCAAATGGATCCAATATTATTTAGAGAATTTGTACATTTTTTTCCAAAATTGGGAAGGAGAGGAACCAGGGAAGATGTTGTCGGAGGGGAGCAGACCCTAGTCATCACCCTCCAGGCAACAGCTTCACTGTTTCCCAACCTTCCACAAAAATCCAGCCAAAGGAAATAACAAAAAGGAAAGAAGAAAACTGAGGAAAGAACAAATGGTAAAAGAGAGACCACTACAACCGATCTTTCTCCGACACATGAACTAAACCTTACCAGCCTTGACTGGGATTCATCATTACAAAAGAATTTTAATATAGAAACACACCAAAAGTATTGACTAGTTTATTTGAAGTTGCAGCAAGACGACGAACAGCAGATCAAGGGATCCTGTTACTATCAGCACTCAATTCTAAGATGTCTGGAAGCCTGGCAGAGCGGATGAGCTTCTTCAACTTGAGCCTCTTCTTGGAGTTGGAGGCACCTGACCAGAAAAGAAGGAAGTTAATTGACTTACTGATGATTTGCTGAGGGGAAGGCAAGAGGTTACAGAAGATGTAGTTGTCGTGAGCTTTCCACAAGGGCTAGCTGATGATAGGGAAACAGATGCCCCGTAAAAGACGAACAGAAGCAGGGATGGACGAGTCAGAACATATGGCTAAACACTGGTTGATGCTAGCAGGAAGGGAGCCAAAACCCAACCTGGGAAGAAAATGAGCCCAAATTTGTTTTGTTAGGCTACATGAGACGAAGAGGTGGTCATAAGTTTCCTGATCACTGCAGAATGAACAACACTAGTCTAAGCAAGTCTATCTTTAGTCTTCAACCTTTGAGAACAGAGGAGCCAGAAAGAGATTTGAACTTTACTAGGCAGCACTTTATTCCAAACAATAGAGTAGTGTTGGAATCACAGACCACCATCTGCTAGAAGACGGTGAAGAGAATTAACTGTGTAAGATTTAGTGACTGATAAGGTCCAAGAAGACAATCTGCATTGAGAGTAGGGTGCATGTTAGAAGCAGATAGATAATGAAGAAGGGCTTGCACTTGACCTCTTGCCTCATCACCACTGTGACGCCTAATAATTGGTTTCCATTCCCATCTGTCCCCCCGAAAACTCCCTTGGGATGCAATATGAACATGTTTGGAGAAGGCAATATCATATACTTTAGGAAAGAGGCTAGCAAGAGAGATGTCACCAATCCACTTATCTTCCCCAAAACAGACCCTGGACCCGTTACCCAGAGACCAATTAACGAAACAGAATTTGTACATTATATCTGTTTGGATTTGGCTTGTTCTCTCTCCATGTACCATATATACCTAAGTATTACATGCACTTGTCGACAATCATTTATTGTTCATGTACCCAAATATAACTATTTTTTGGAATTGTATGAATCTATATATGTTTGACCTACTTTTTTCCATTGTCAACTCAAAAATACTGTGAGCCATCTTACCCACAATTTTGCACATTAGTTTATTTTTTCTGTCTCATTACAAATTTCGACAATCAAAATCATAAATTTTCAAGAAAAAAAATGTATTTCACATCCGATACATCTGTACACCTGCTAACCAAACCGACAATATCCGAGTAAATTCACTAGTGCTCCTAAAAGCATATACAGGAGTTTCTTTGCAAATATAGAAAGCGTCCAATATAAAAAATAAAATAAAAAACTAATAATAAACCGAATTAGAAAGAATAGATAATGATTTGAATCAAATATAATTTCCTAAAGAGGATCTCCACAGTAGCGTTTAAAGAATCTCCAAGCTCAGTCCGTTTTGTCCTCACCCGCTCACACACCCACGCACACACCACTCTCTCTCTCTAGCTTTCTCTCTCTAGAAAATCCTATATAAACCATCCCACCTCCACTTTTTGAGAGAAGCCCAACCGATCAAGATGATTTCCTCGGCAATCACGCCAACCGTTCGGACACCGCCGGCGATCTCCCGCAGATTTTTTCACTCCTCGGCCATAATTACCGGCACGTCCCCCCTTCCTTTTCTTTTTTATTTACATTTTCAGTGCTTTTCATCTTCGTTTGCAAATAAGTAATTTATCGGGCGTTAATTTGATAGCTTCTTCGCTTTAAATTGTTATTGGGTTTGGGTATTGGGCAATGCCCGACCCACCGGGCGACCCGGGGGATCACTGGTGAGTGGCAGTGAAGTAATTTAGAGGAATTGAGGAGGGTGGTTTGCGTTTTTTTTTTTTTTTTTCTTTCTCGTAGCACCCGCTCGGGATTTTACTTTCCTAATTTGGATATGTTATAGCTTGTGTTTTAATGAAGTTGGGTAATTTTTATAGGCGCCTGTACGTAAAATTAGGACAAAGGACAATATCTTCGTATTTGTATTTTTCTATTTTTAAGGACAAGGTTCCAAGGATGAACTTTGAATGTGGAGCATTTGGATGCAATTTATTGTTGGTGGGGCCAATATTGGGCGTCATATTATATGACGTGGCATATAGATGAAGCAATGCTTATCTAAGTAATATTACTATAATTGAAAATACATTGAGAAAGATTTATATTTTGTTTTCCCAACAGATTTGTGTAATTTTGGACCAACATTGGGATCCAACGAAGATTACCTTTGCCGTTGGAAGACCTATACAATATCGAAATCAAGCAGTGCTACTCGAGGTATATATCAACAGTCTTTACTTGAATTTTCTCTGAATATTCTCTTGATTGTTTGATTCATGAAGAAATCGTCCATGTACATTACCTTTTCTTGTTAAATGCATTATCTCAACGTTAGAATTACTTTTTAATAAAAGGTGGAATATTCCGATCCTCTTACTCTATGGGGCTGTTTGGTTGTCTTTTTTTAGAGGCTGAATCCCTGCCAAAACTGACAAAAACTGTCAGTTTTGACAGGAAATCTTGTAAAAACGTCTTTTTTGTCAAAACTGACACTTTTTGTCAAAACTGACAGTTTTAGAGGCATTTTGGGGTGATTTCCTGTCAAAACTGACAGGGATTCAGCCTCTAAAAGATGCAACCAAATAGCCCCTAAAGGAAAAATAATTAATATCACACAAAATACTGTGCGTACGTAATATATAATAAAATCAGATCTAACACTGGTTGACTAAAGTATTATTAAGTACATGCATGGCCTTCCAATTTTTTTTTTTTTTTTTTTTTTTTTTTTTTTTTCTTTTTTTTTTTTTTTTTTTTTTTTTTTTGATTGTTCACGGTGTCAACGGTTAAATAAACCCTATTAATATTAGCACGTTGATGGAAATTCGACATGGTCTTAAAAAATATTTCTTATAGTTTACCCGATTTTTAAGTCAGGTTGTTCGGCAATGGAGATTCTGTTATCAGATTCCTTTTTTTTTTTGTTCCAGCTGATGACGTTTACGAAATTTTAAATCCCATCTTAATGGAGTTTATGAATCTCTAATTAAATACCAGGTGAAGGTGAAGCCAAGGTTAAGGGGGTTAAGAAACTCTATTAATATCTAATGTCAGAGCTAATATGGGTATGTATATATAATACAATATAAAAGTTATGCAAAGAGACAATCGGAGACTATGATGGCTCTGATGTGGGATCAAAAAGGAATGTTGTACATCATTAACATATATGTGGATTGTTCCTAAAGTTGGTTCGTTGTTTCCTTTGAATTTTAAATGTATAGGAATAAATTAATTTACTCTTCTCCTTGCACTCATCCATCCTTGCACCAATAGCTTCATCATGATGCGTGATTATGGATTTATGTGAGCATGACACGTGGCGGTCGCACCCCACCAGCTGGCAAGTATTCAAATGAATGTTTCTTTGATGTAACCATTAGTGCATATTCGACAATATTAGTGGAAATTAAGGTTTGTCTATTATTAATTGTCATTAGAAGCTCCAATCAGTAATCAATCAACTTTAAGAATGTTGCTCGATCGAAGAAGACAAATATCCTTAAAATATTTAAAAATATGTCTTGTCCAATGTTGTTGTTACTACTGTTGCTTTTACTACTGCTAGTTTTGCTATTAATAAGCCTTTTAACAATTGAATAGACACACTATATAATTCTATTTTTATAAAAGAGATCTGCATGTTGAAAATAAATTAAGTCTCAGCATATGTAAAACTAGATTTTGCGTGTGAAAATTTCCCTAAATGGATTAGTCATAATAGAGCTCAAAATGCTATATTTTTGTCATTTTTTCTTCTTTTTCTACATTTCTTTATTTAAAAGAATTTACTCTTCAAATGTAAAATTTGGCAATATCCTACTGAATTCTATTATGAGTACTAAACAAAGATTTTGAGTATACGTACTTGTGTCTAACAATAATATGTTTGCATAATTAGAGTACAACTTAGGCCTAACCCACAAAGGATTGCCTATCATTGAGTGGCCAAAGGATATATCAGAGTTGCATGACGGAGATGATCTCTTACTCGAGGTATCGTCTAGCTAGTATCATCGAAATCTTAGCATGTGAAATTCTACATATATTTTTTTTAGTTGAATGTAACCAAACATGTTTTCATTTTGTTCAGAAATTCTTCGGGGTGAATGATATGTGGCATATGATTAATGAAGTAAAAAGGATGGTAGGATCCATGGATGATGGAGAAATAAGCATATCTGCCTATGACACTGCATGGGTGGCCTTAGTTAAGAGCCTAGATGGCAACAACAAGCCCCAATTTCCTTTAAGCCTTCAATGGATCATTAATAACCAATTTAACGATGGATCATGGGGCTATGACACTCTTTTCTCTGCTTATGATAGGATTATCAACACAATGGCATGTGTTATCGCCCTTAAATCATGGGAAATTTCCCCTGATATATGCAATAAAGGTAGACTACGAAACTAATACAAAATTGTCATATTGTTTGATGATATGACATGGGGATTGCTAATTAATTTTCTTATATGGTAGTAGGCCTTTTGTTTTTGAGGGAGAATATTTGGAGGTTGGGTGAGGAGAAAGATGAGCTCATGCCTATTGGCTTTGAAGTTACCTTTACATCATTGATTGATATAGCCAAGGGTTTGGGGTTAGAGGTTCCTTATGATGACCCTGCATTGAAGAAGATATATGCCAAGAGGAATCTTAAGCTTAAGAGGTATTCACTCATACACGGTCGAAACTTATATTCTCCAAGTCACATAATATTTTTAATGTTTATTTGGCTTAAGTGGTCAAGCTATGAAGGTGACATTTAGAATTGTGTCCTTTCCTCATACATACACCAAAGTCTCTTAAGATTTTTATATTTGTTCTCTGACTAAACTTTGATGCTTGCATTGAAGTACTTTTAAGATATAGTATAAGATAAAAAGCATTGGTCCCTTTGTTTTTGAGCATTCAAATTATTGTATGTCCATTCAGAAGAGATCTAGTGGGATATCACACTCTCGCAATAACTTCCTCACAAATCAAAATGGCACTAGGACCAAATCCAAAGATCCAAAAGATGTTGAGCTAATGGCCAATATGAAAATCTCTATCTTGTACTAACTTGTCTCATAAAAACTCCATAAACAAGTTTATTTTATGCCTAGCTTATTCTCATAATTAATTTTCTACAAATTCCCCTTTTATATTTATTAGGATTCCTAAAGAAGTGATGCATGAAACTCCAACAACACTACTACATAGCCTTGAAGGGATGGCAAACTTAGATTGGACCAGACTTCTCAAGCTCCAAAGCATGGATGGCTCCTTCCTATTCTCTCCATCCTCCACTGCCTATGCCCTTATGCAAACAGGAAACATCAAGTCCCTTGAATACCTTCAGCGTGTGGTGGAAAAATTCAACGGAGGAGGTAGACAATGGAAAACTTTTAATAGGCTAATCAGCATAAAACTACCATCTGTAGTTTCTCTTTAAGACATCTACTACAGATTTGGCCTTATTCTCCAGCTCGGAGACGTTGCCTTAATCTGCAGTAGATATCTTCTTTTGTATGTTCTTCTAACCTTGGTCATCAGTAATACATGATAGGGAAATCCCTATTTTCACTCAAAAAAAAAACAAAAAACTACCATCAGTATGCAGTCCTATCTACTATATATATATATATATATATATATATATATATTATATATATATATATAATATATATATAATATATATATATATATATATATATATGTATGTAAAGCTTATGTCAACTTAAGTGGATAGAATAAGTCATCCACTAACTTTTTTTAACCGTTGATATTGCATTAGGATCCGTGAAAGATATGAAGAATCTTTTAAGATTTGTGTATCTTTTGATGGCACAAATCTTGAGACAAGATGAGTGGATAAAAAGTTTGGTGGACAAGGCCTCCTATCCACTTAAGTGGATATGAGTTTTACTCTCTCTCTCTCTCTCTCTCTCATCTCTCTCTCTATATATATATATATATATATATATATATATATATATATATATATATAATATATATATATATCACTTAGATATGTAATAGTTATTTTTGTCTTTATGTTAACATGTCGGCTCGTGTGATGAAAAACCAAATTCTTACAATTCATTAATTGTCATTTTAGGTCATTTTTTCTATTTGGCTTGCTTCAGGGGTGTTATTGTCCAAAATATATCATATGTTAGTCACATGAGAAATTTTTAGAACATCTAATGGTTGCCTAACATATATACAATATAAGTTCTTCAAGAAACAATCAGGATATATATACTGATTATCCTTTTTAATGATTTTTCTTCTCATGCAGTACCAAATGTTTACCCAGTGGATCTCTTTGAGCATATATGGGTAGTTGATCGACTGCAACGCCTAGGTATATCTCGGTATTTTGAGCAAGAGATTAAAGAATGTATGGAGTATGTACATAGGTATTTTTCTTCTTTTTCTTAGTATTATTTCTTATAATTAAGTAGATAACTCAGGTTATGTAATGAAGTATATTAATTAGTTAAAATTTTCAGATATTGGACAGAGAATGGAATTTGTTGGGCAAGGAACTCTAGTGTGCAGGACGTAGACGATACAGCCATGGGATTTCGGCTTCTCAGACTTCATGGATATGATGTATCTCCTGGTATGTTTTTTTCAGTGTTGTATATGTATATACAAATTTTAATGAGCAGAAATGTATTTATCTTCATTTATATTTTATTTTGTTTGTTTGACATTGTTAAATGAACAAGAGTTTTACAAGCTCGATCTTATGAAATAATGTTGGAGAATGGTAATTAGACTTGCACAGTTAAAGATTTTTTTTAAAAAGAGATAGCAAGAACTAAATTCTTTACTTCTGTCGTCCTTTTACCATCTACTAAATATGATAAAAATTATTTCTGTAAGAAAAATTGTAAACATAATTCTTAAATCATCTCCATCAAATTAGGCAAGTTTACATACACCACAAGTGTAAAAAGGCTAGTAAAAATAGTAAATGAAGTTATGCCTAAATTAAATATTGTTATCATAAAAGATGGTAAAATAGAACATTTTGTTTACCATGAATAGGAAACATATTTCTTAACTCATGTCCAATCAAATTAGGTAATATTACACCTAAAAAAGACTTGGATTTCTCTTTTAATTAAAAAAATCATGATTAATCATCAATTACTCTTAAACTAATGACATATAAATTAATTAGAAAACACATGACTGCTTTGTGTCAAAGAAAGTAGGCATATATACGTCTATAGTAAATACAGCATGTCATGTTGTTCTACACTTCTACTTAATTCAATCCTGTGCCGACATGAGTAATACCAGATATTTGTAAGAACATATCAATCACATCATTATAATAAAATTATGAACTAATTAATTAATATAAAATTCCTATTACAGATGTCTTCAACAACTTTGAGAAGGATGGTGAGTTCTTCTGCTTCGCAGGACAGGCAAATCAGGCAGTGACCGGAATCTACAATGTGAATAGAGCTTCTCAGGTGATGTTTCCAGGGGAAGCTATTCTCGAACGAGCAAAAAAGTTTTCTTATGAATTTCTCAGAGAAAAACAAGCAGCTAATCAGCTCTTAGACAAGTGGATCATAACTAAGGATCTACCCGGAGAGGTAAAAATATTAAAAATGATGAAAACAAACAAAAAATATATGTAATAACGTAAAGTTAATAGGAATAAATTGTGAATAAATAAAAAACCAGGTGGAGTATGCACTGGATTTCCCATTCTATGCGAGTCTACCACGCATAGAGGCAAGGTGGTTCATTGAGCAGTATGGTGGCGAGAAGGATGTCTGGATTGGGAAAACTCTGTATAGGTAAGGGGTATTTTAGTGATTTGGTTGTCTTTGTTTTTTGTTAAGTGAGGACACATGTCAATGAATGGAGGGGATTGTAGGATGCCATTCGTGAACAACGACTTGCATCTGGATCTGGCGAAAGCTGACTTCAACCAGTGCCAGGCGATTCACCAGCTAGAATGGCTGGGCCTCCGAAAGTGAGTTTTGCATAAAAGTCCATCTCACTTAATAGTTTGCAGTTTCAGAACAACATCATTATACAAATAATATATTTTTTTAAATATATGGTTGTCTGGTTTACCACAATTGCAAAAAAGCTTTTGCATATAATTGTTAAATTTGGTCTCGAGTTTTCACTATCCAAAGTTTTTGCGTGTATAGTAGTTCAATTAGACTTAGTTGCAATTTAAACCATTTTTACCATCCAAAAGGGTTACAGCTGTGACTTGTCTGCAAATCTGCGTTCATCTCCTGCAATATATATATTTTTTTATCAATTGTATTGCAGCTATATTTATTAGTGGCAGTGAGGAAAAAAAATATATAATTTCAGTTGCATGAAAGTAAAGATGATCATTATTTCATACTTATTGCATGCAGGTGGTACACAGAATGCAATCTAGCGATGCATTGTGTGAGTAGGAAGAGTGTGTTGAGGGCATACTTTTTGGCGAGTGCTTGTATTTTCGAGCCTGAGTGTGCAGCTGAGCGAGTTGGATGGGCTAAGACTAAAGTCGTCGCTGAAGCTGTTTCATCATATTTTCGAAGTGAATCGTGCACAGAGGAAGCTCGAAGAAAGTTTGTTCATAATTTTCGTAATGGTAGCATAAGGTATGCTTTTTAAGAATCAATAACTTTATAGATCGCATTACATGCTCATGAGATTACAATTTCTTTTTTCTTAATTATTGCATTTTACTTTAACTATTTTAGTTTTATTGTTATTTCAAACATAAAATTTATGATTACACCCAACTTAGAAAACCATGGGCATTGATTGCAAGTGCTATTGTAGTACAATGTAAAACCTCCAAATGTGCACAAGCTCTGAAGTTTAAATATCGTAAAGTCATATTAGATGCTTAAAACATATATATGTTTTATTTATTAAATATTCTTTAAGAAAAGAGACATCAAAAGTTTGTAAGGAACTTTATGATGCTGTCGAATAAACCATCTCCGCCTTGATTCCGAGATAATAAATAAATATTTAAAAATTCAAATGACAATAGGTTAATGAAACATGTAATCATCTCATTATGATAAATAATTGATTAGTGGAATAAATATGTTGTTGCGCGTCGGCGGAAGCGTGCACACGAACCAACACGAGTCGGCGAGCAACGGTAGGAGAACAACCAACAAGTGCAATTCACAAAAGAATGACCACAATAAATCAAAAACACAGAGGTTTACGTGGTTCAACAATTGCCTACGTCCACGGGGAGAGGATAGAGAGATTTCAGTATATAGAGGAGAAATACAATGGGTTACAACTCTCTCAAACACTCAAAATAACCCTAACCAATAATCTCTCACTCCCTCATAATAATCTCCCTCTCAAAGTGCTCAAAAGGCTCTTTTTTCTCTGATAATAATCTCTTCTAAACCGTTCTATATATATATATATATATATATATATAGAAACCCTTAAAACTAAAACAGACTAGGAATCCAACAATTCTAAAACAAAAATCAAAACAGACTAGGAATCCCAATAACCCTAAAATCAAAACAGACTAGGAATCCAACAAATTTAAACCCAAAACCAAAACAGACTTGGAATCCTGTTTAGTCTAATAACCTGCTATCCAACAATTCTTCACCTCGGCGAAATGTTCCCAAAACTGAGTCGACACCAACAAGAGCACCAATGTATCGTCTTTCCAAATCCGGTTGTACCAATATGATTACCTACGTACCCCCTCTCCCAAGAGATCAAATCACCCGTAGTTCATTCAAATGGCCTCGAAAGGCCTCAACAAGCACAAATTCGCAACAAGTTTTTACACACCAATTTCTCCTTTCCTACAGTTCAAAACCCCAATGACTGAGTTATATAAATTTCTTCATCAATATCACTATGAAGAAAAGTTGTTTTCACATCCAACTGATCCAATCCCAATACATACTGTGTCACCAAAGCTAGCAAGATCTGAATCGAATAGTGCTTCACCAGCGGAGAAAAGACTTCATTGTAGTCAATGCCTTCTTTCTATGCATAACCCTTCGCTACTAATCTACCTTTGAACTTTACTAGAGTTCCCTGAATGCCTTCCGTCCCTTTGGAAGGTCAACAAACTCCCATGTGTTGTTCCTGTGAAAAGACTCCATTTCCTCCTGCATAGTCTTTTGTCACAAATTAGCCTCTGAACTCTGCTCAACCTCTCTGAGTGTAGTAGGAACCATCTCGTTGACACTCCACCGGAATTACACATGCAACGACTGTGTCCGTATACCTCGTTGGCAACCGTATGTCTCTCTTTGATCTTCGAACTGCAATTGAATCCTGAACCTGAGCCGTCGGTCCCTGATCCTGTTCTGTCATACCTATATCCTCTAAATCATCACATTGATCGCCTGACATCACCTAAGTCGATACTCTAATGAATACGATCTCATCTGGACTCTGTGGAGCTGCATCAATCTCCACTACCTACGATATCTGCTCTGTCGGGGTGCTCTCCACCTGATGAGAGTTGGTAGGCTTTAAGAGCGAAGCCTCATCGAATATAATGTATCTACTCAGCATAATCTTTTTCTCAACTGGATCTCAAAATTTGTATCCTTTCACACCACACTTAATCCCACAAATATGACCTTTCTAGCTCAATGTTTCAATTTATCAGTTCTGACATGATAAAATACAGGGTATCCAAATACCTTAAGCTGATCATAGTCGTGTGCTGGCTCTCCTGACCATATCTCCATAGGGGTTTTTCCTCAATCACAAATAAAGACAGCCTATTAATGAAATGGCTCACATATGAAAGTGTCTCAGCCTAAAAGTTCTTCTCCAAACTACTCTTCTATAATAAACATCGGACCTTCTTCAGTTAAGACTGATTCAACCTTTTTGTCACTCCATTCTGTTACGGTGTATGACTAACTGTGAAGTGCCTCTGTATGTCCTCGTCTCGACATAGCTGCTGAAAGGGGTCTAAAGTGTACTCGCCGCCATTATCGGATCTCAACGTCTTGATCTTTTTCCCTATCTGTAGTTCCAATCTTCTCTTCTACTCTACAAATATCTCTAGGATTTCACTCTTCTTCACCATGGTGTACACCCAATAACGCCTAAAATAGTCATCTACAAACGTGACGAACCAATGTTGACCATCAAGTGATGCCATCTTGGTGGGACCCCAAACATTCATGTGCATGTAGTCTAAAATGCCTCTCATCCTATGAACGGATGTCCTGAACTTCACCTTAGTTTTTTTGTCAAGAACACAGTGCTCACAGAATTCAACCTTCCCACACTTGGCTCCCTTTAATATCCCCTACTTGCACAACGACTGTAGTGATTTTTTACCTATGTGCCCCAATCTGTAGTGTCAAAGTCTGCTCGCGTCCGCCTCTGAAATAGCTGAATCTACCTGACTAATCTCGGTGCTTCCCTTTAGATAATAAAAATTCCTACTACGGACTCCCTTCATCATTACCAAAGATTCCTTAGTAACTTTTGTTATAACGCTCTCAAAAGTCACATTGAATTTCATTGCCTCCAAAGCTCCAACGAAAATAAGATTCTTCTTCAGCTGAGAAATAAATCTTACTTTATTCAACTCACGAACAACTCCGTCGTACATCCGAATCCTGACTGTACCTATCCCATAAATACTACAGGACTGGTCGTTTTTCATGACCACCACACCCCCATCAAGCTTCTCGAAAGATGCAAATCAATCTCGTCGGGGAGTCACATGATAAGTAGCACCAGAATCCAGTATCTAATCCGATGCATTAGAATGGTTAACCTCTGGAGTAACCAATAGCGAACAACATGACTCATTTGAATCGTTACCACTCTTAGCAATATTCACCTCACTGGCCTTCTCTTTCTATTTTCCTTCTCTCTGAGCTTCGGGCAATCTCTCTTCCAATGTCCTTGTTCTTGACAGAAAGCACACTGGTTCTTTGCTAATTAGTAGTGGCCTCTTGACTTTGACCTGCCTCTGTTGCCACCTCTCGGATAGGGACTCCTACCTCTCGTCGACAAGTCTTCTCCTGAAGTGCTAGCTTTGGAAGATTATTTATCCTTTCTGCTAAAGTCAAAATTCATCAACACATTAGTCACTTCACTATAGGTGATGAAAGATCTACCGTTCAACAAAGTGAGCACAAAAGTATCATACACTTCATCAGGTAAGGAGCCTAATAAAATAATCATCTTGTACTCATCTGATATCTTCTCATTCGTATTCGCCAAAGTCCGACAATAACTTTGTGTAGTTATTCACATGATCTGTAAGTGAGGTACCCCTGGACATATGGAATCTGAACAATCTTCGTAGTAATTACAATCGGTTCTCAACACTCTTCGTAAGATACTTGTTGTTCAGAATCTCTCACATCTTCATCGCAAACGTCACGCCGATCACATCGTACAAACAAGATCTAATTACCCCATTAAACGTTTCGATTCATCTTGTCCCATATCGTCTCATCATACTTTGGTGACCTCTCGTGGACCATGACGGTCTCTTTCAAATTTTGAGCATTCAAAGCATCCTACACATCACTCATCCACAACCCAAAGTTGATATTGCCGTTATACTTCACAACACTGATCTTTAAATTCTGAAGTACAACCTGAACTGTACTCGTCATCATCTTGCTGCTTTCACCAACTTCTTCTCCCATTGCTTGAGAACTCCAAATTATAAAGAAAGATTCAAAAGATTTGTGAAATTACCCAACTAAATCCTAGATAGGATTCCAACACGATCACCCAACTACACGAGGAATGCGATATCTCCAACGACAACTCTGCAAAGCTATCTCCACCGAAGCCTAGATCTCTAATATCAAGCTTCCAACAGTGAATCTTCCTCTACCCAAAACAAACCATAGGTCTGAAACCCTAGGCTCTAATACCAATTGTTGCGCGTCGGCAAAAGTGTGCACACGAACCAACACGAGTTGGCGAGCAACGGGAGGAGAACAACCAACAAGTGCAATTCACAAAAAATGACCAAAATCAAGCACAAACAAAGAGATTTACGTGGTTCGACAGTTGCCTACGTCCACAGGAGAGGATAGAGAGATTTTACTATGTGGAGGAGAAATACAATGAGTTACAACTCTCTCAAACACTCAAAATAACCCTAACCAATAATCTCTTAGTCCCTCACAATAATCTCCCTCTCAAAGTGCTCAAAAGACTTTTTTCTAATAATAATCTCTTCTAAAACATTCTATATATATAGAAACCCTTAAAACCAAAAGAGACTAGTAATCCAACAATTCTAAAACCAAAACCAAAGATGACTAGGAATCCCAATAACCTTAAAATCAAAACAGACTAGAAATCCAATAATTCTAAAACCAAAACCAAAACAGACTAGGAATCATGTTTGTCCTAATAACCTGCTATCCAACATGTATAATACAGTTACTTAATGGTGATGGTTATAATAGTAATTAACTCGAAGAAAGTGAACATCATTCTTTGAAAATTAGGATGCTTTTCTAATGCCAACTTGTTACCTACTACTATCATTGGCATGGCCTAACTAATAAGAAAGATTAACATTACCTCTTGGACTATAGAGATGAACAAGAAATCAACTTAATAGGGCTAGTGGTCTAAGACTTGCAAAACTCTAAAAAAAATATACAGAGAAACAATGAATTTTCCAATTTGTTTTTCATATTTTAATTTTGGCAGAGCGTATTTCTCATATAAGGAAGAAGAATATAGAAAGCCCTCTATAGAAGATCAAATAGAAAGGATGAGAACACCACGTGGCTTTAAAACATTTTAAATTTAGTAATTGCATTGAGTTTTGTACTGTTTCCATTAATACAAATTCTACTTGCACTAATATGTTAACTGTTTACACACCCTTTATTGTTTCTTCCCAGTGTGGTTTTCGTAGGGGGTACTCTGTAGGACATTTTTTCCTACTTCACAAATTTGAATGCTGGGGTACTGATAAAATTCTCAAGAGAATTATGGATCCTAAAGTTTACAAATTTGCCTAAAATAACATATTAATTTCACTGCACATCACAAATTGTGGCATGCAGGTCAGCATGGGAAAGGTCAGGAGAGGGATTGGTGGGCGCCTTACTCCAACTAATCAATTCCTTTGCTTCATGGGCATATTCCCGACTGGAGCAACCGCGACAACAGCAGATCCTCGACCACTTGCGACAAGCTGTGAGCATCCCTTATTATCTGAACATTATTATTTTTTTACTTTTGCTAATAGTATTAACCCCTAATATTAATTTATGATATTTTGATAAAAAGACTTGGACAGTGACAATAAAAATGATCAAGAAAGCATAAAGATGTCTTTTCCTACAATAACAATTCTCGGTTTTTGTAGTGGGAGGATTGGATGTCGACATGGAGCGCGGACAAAGATGAAACCGGAACATTGCTGGTACGGACAATAGAATTGTGCAAAGGAAGGACAAATGTGATGGTTCAGCCGGAGTATGTACAATTGGCACAACTCACCTCTTCGATATGCAGCAATCTTCAGCATCGCATGCACCGGGCAAAGGTGAGAGTCAAATAATAATAATAATAATAATAATAAGTTTTTTTTTTGGTAAGTGAAAAATTTTATTTCATCATCAAAATGAAAAATTATGTACATCAATGATATTAGAGCTCAGAAACAGAGCTCAGCTAAGCGAAAACTCCTCGAGGAGTAAGAAAGAACCTCATCTACAACATATTACAACAGTAAAACAAAAACCTGCACATATTATGCATAGTACGACTAGAGCATAGCAACACTGTTTGTGCACCTTCTTTGCCTCTACCATGGATACTTTCTCAGCAATTACAAGGAGAGAATCCATTCCCTGTCTTCAGCTGAAGGGGTACAATTCAGAATAGCAGTGAGGATGTCCATCTTTATATTCTTGATTAAAGCATCAGGAGCTCTACTCTTCAATTTAAAAATCCTGTTATTCCTCTCTCTCCAAATGTTATACACTGCAGCGGCCAGCGCTATCCTTTTAATTTTTTGCTTAAATCCTTTGCCCCACAGCCTGAAACTGTACCAATTCAATAGGGCAGACCAATCACAAGATCTCCACTTGAATTTGAGCCACTCTATAATACCATTCCACACAAAATTTGATAATTTGCACTGAAAAAAGAGGTGATTTATGCTCTCTGAAGAACCATCACAAAGTTTACAAACAGAAGCTTGAATAATCCCCATGTTTGAGAAGTCTATCTTGAGTTTGAAGTTTGTCATTGACTGCTAGCCACAGGATAAATGAATGTTTAGGATAGCTCAGATTTTCCCACACTATGTCATGCCATGCCACATGAGATGAACCAGATGACAGACTGGAATAGAGACCAGAGATTTGGACTTTTGAGTTAACACAGTAAGAATAGATAAGCTGTTTGAGGTTTTCAATCCCTCCACACAAAACAAGGCATTTATCTCTGATTTTCAATAATTGTTTCCACATCCAAGAATCCCCCTTCTTAGCATTTACATGCCATATGCTACTGTTTTTTAGGTAGTTCTCATGGGACCAGTTAATCCATAATTGCTCCTTATTCATGTGGATATTCCAAAGGATTTTAAGAGCTGCAGCAGTGTTCCAAATCCTAGCTGAGAAGATTCACAATCCTCCATTTTTCCTTGGCACACAAACTTTACTCCATGACACAAGCGAAGGTTTGAAAATTTGATCTGATTTACCCCATAGAAAGCACCTACATAACTCATCAATCTTTTGTAGCACTTTAACTAGAAGGATGTAACTAGATGTCCAGAAAATTTGAACACCCAATATGACACTTGATAATCTGTATTCTTCCAGCATAAGACATTTTTATTTTTCATACAACTCTGGAATTGATTGGATATTTTCAAGAGAAGAGGATTGTAGTCAATGTAAGACATCCTTTTGCAAATAAGGGGAAGGCCAAGATATCTGATTGGCAGTTTACCTTCATAGAAGCCCAGGGAATTATTAATCACTTGTTTTATATCTTTAGAAACCCCACCATAAAAGATAGAACATTTTGTAGGATTTGCCTCCAGACCTGAGCAATCAACAAAATATTTAACACATTGAAAGAGTTTATTCACAGAATAAGGGTCCCCTCTGCAGAAAAGAAGGAGATCATCAGCAAACACAAGGTGTGTAATCTTTAGATTTTTGCACTTGGGGTGAAATTTGAAATTTGTATCATCCTTCAGCTGATTCAAGCTTCTTGTTAGATATTCCATACCAAGAATGAAGAGGTAGGGGTAGAGGGGGTCCCTTTGCCTTAGTCCTCTTCCCCCCTTAAAGAAACCATGCAGACTTCCATTCAGGGAGATAGAATAATTTGGTGAAGAGATACAGCTCATGATCCATTAAACAAAGACCAGAAAGAAGCCCAGACCTTTCATAATGTCCTGCGGGAATCCCCAACTAATTGAATCAAAAGCCTTCCTTATATCTATGTTGATCATCACCCTTGGTGACAGGTGTTTCCTTCCATAGTTTTTAACAAGCTCATGTGCAAGTAAGATATTATTTGATATTTGTCTACCCTTCACAAAAGCACTTTGAGCTTCATTGACTAAACTCCCCATAACAGCCTGTATTCTAGTTGCCAGAATTTTTGAAATGATTTTATAGAGGCAATTGCAACAAGATATAGGTCTGAAATCTGCTGGAGTTTTAGGACATTGCACTTTTGGAATAAGTGTAATTGATGTGGAATTTACAGCTCCTAACAGTTTGCCTGTTTTAAAGGAATCACCAACTACTGAAATAATTTCATCCCCAATGATGGACCAGGCAGATTTGTAAAAGGATGCATCAAAACTATCAGGCCCCGGGGCCTTGTTATCTGACATTGAGAAAATTGCACCTCTTATTTCTTCACTTGTGACAAGCTTAGATAGTTCACTGGCTTGGAAAGAACTCAGGCATGTTCCATTTTGAATAACATGACTATCACTTTTCGCAGTATGAATAGCTGTCCCCATCAAGTTTTTATAATAAGAGATGAACTCTTTAGTTATCTCTTCTCCATCAGTAATTCTGTGTCCCTGACTATTATATAGTACTAGAACTCTATTGTTATGTCTGTTAGCTTTAATGGCTGAATGAAAAGCTTTGAATTTCTGTCATCTTGAATGCACCAGATAGTTCTTGCTTTCTGCTGATAGAAAGAAATTTCATGATCTAAGAGTTTAGTATATAATGCAACAAATTTTCTTTCCTGACTTATAAAAGCAGAATTGAGGGGATCATCTTGAATTTTCTTTTGAATTTCCTCCATCTCAGTTTTTGCTCTTATGACTTGCTCACTAATATTACCAAAGTGTCTTCTATTCAGTGACTTCAAAGCTGCTTTCAACTTTTTGAGTTTCGAGTAAACAGAGTACATATGAAATCCATTGATAGGAATTTGCCAAATACTAGATATAGTGGTAAGGAAATCATCATGCTTCGTCCACATATTAAAAAACATGAATGGCTTTTTACCATAAGAGGAGTCTTCATAAACTGAGACTATAGCAGGGGAATGATCAGATAATCTGGGCACCATAAACTCCACATGACTAGAGTTTAGTTGTTGAATCCAATTGTCATTTACGAGAGCTCTGTCCAAACGACTCCAGACTCTAGTATCCTGATCTTGTTTGTTGTTCCATGTAAAAAAACACCCTATTGTTTTCAAGTGAGAGAGCTGGCAATCATCAATAAAAGAACTGAAATCTATTGTGTCAGCATCAGTTAATGTTGAGCCACAAAGTTTCTCTTCACTGTTTAACATTGTATTAAAATCTCCACATATAATCCAAGGTAGGTTGCCAATTGATCTATGAATAAGAGATAATTCTTCCCATAAGCCCTTTCTAGCTTGGATATTGTTGTATCCATACACTGATGATATGACACATGGAAATCTACCATCAATAGAGTTAACCCTACAAGTAATCTACTGGCTAGAGAGGTTCATCTGCTAAATGACTAGAATATTAGGATCCCATAATATGAGAATCCTAGCCTTCTCAGAGTTACTCACATTAGAAAGCCAATCCCATTCTTTAGCAATTCTTTTCGCAGCATCTTTGATATTAGATTCCTTAATCTTTGTTTCCAGAAGAGAGATAAAAGGTAAATGATAAATCTACAGGTGTTGCTTAATCATCAATTGTTTAGAGGGTTTATTTAACCATCACATTCCAAAAAGATAAGTTCATTTGAAAAACAATCTCCCTCTATCAATTGTAGAGGGATCAGTATCTAAATCCACCACTGATAGGAAAGACTTACCAGATTTCTTACTATCAGCCAATCTGGGAATGGTAGCAGGAATTTCACTAAACTGAGAAATAACATTTAAAGAGTTGCCAGACAACTTAGATTTAGTACCTTGAACCAGTATCCAGGAGTTGTATTCATGAGAACTTTTAGGCACAGGTAGTTGCCTGTGCACAACATGCACAACATTTTGTTCAGCTTCCTTCCCCTGACCATGTACTAGCTTTGTAGTTAACTGATGTGGAATTTCAGTGTTCCTATTCAAACTTGAAAATTCATCAAATTGTGCCTCATCATTTGGAAAGTCCCCCTCATGAAGTATTTCATGTACAGGCTGTGGAGCAGACAGTCCTGATTTCACAGAATGAGTAGACCTTGCCTCTTTTTTTTAGGGTTCCCCTAAAACATGCACCACATGTACAGGTGACTGGTGATTCATAACCTCTTGGGCTACAGATTTTCCCCCCTCCCCCCTACACCTGATATAGAGCCAAATTTGCTACTATTCTCAGTAACTTGCTTCTTTTTGGGAATCCATTTCTGTACTTTAGTTCTTTTATTGCAAAAAATTGTGTCATGACCCACATATTTGCAAACAACACATCACCTTGGTTTAAATTCATAAATCACCTTCTGTTTATAAGTCTTACCATTTGGCCCTTGGATGGAGACATGATCAGGTAGGGGGGATGACATTTTAACCTCTACCAAAACTCTAGCATAAGTCAGCCTTTGTTTGTTTGTTGTCAACATATTAGTAGCAATAGGTCTCCCAATTTTACTGGAAATTTTACTTATGCTTTTAGAATTCCACAAATTTAGCCTTAAAGCAGGAAATTGAATCCATAATGGATATACACACTCATCAGATTTATTTGTTTCCTCATCTATGGACCAAGGTTTTAGAAGCATTGGTCTAGATCCAAAAAACCAAGGTCCCTTACTAAGAACCTCATTCATTTCTTCCTTTAAATTTGAACAAAAATAAAGCTGCCTTGAGTAGACAGATTTCAGGAGATTGAGGCCATACTTTGTGCACATAACTTTCCATAGCCTTGAAACTAACACTCAAACCAAGAACCTGTCCAATAGCAGAGGAAGACCACATTAAGGCACCATCATTCCACTCTTCATCATTGAAAACAACTGAATCATTCGTATCTGAAGGAAAAAAATCCAGTACCATGCCTTTCCTAAGTTTTCTGTTATCTGAAAATAGGCTACTCCAGCTCTTGGTAGGGATTTTGGAATTCTCTAAAGGAGGATCAAGTGTTTCATCCATACTAATTTTATTTTCCTTATACAAAATTAAAGAATAATCATTCTTAGTGTTTGAATTCAAAGCAACAGGATTTTCAACAATCTTAGTGTTTGAATTCGAAATCTCAGGGTCAGGGATAGAAAAGGATCTTGACAATAAAAACTCAGATTCAGTCTCCTCTGCCCAAGAAACTCTAGCAAAATTCTTTCCACCATTACAAGAAAGAGAGGACTTACAAACCTGAAGTCCCTTCATTGGAGATAGTTGACGATCTTGAATTCCCGCCATTAATGATTTGCTGATTGCATGATCTTGAGCTCCCTTCATCAGAGATGACATTTGATCAAGATTTGAATCTTTTAAAGAGCATGAAGATTCCAGAATCTCCACCATCGATTTAGTCATCTTCGCTCCCCTAGGACCCATCGATCCCATGAGAGATCCTTCACCATCTCCACTATCTTCAGAAAAAGCATCTGTATTCTCCTCAGGATCGATCAGAGATGAGATTGAAGTTCCTATTCCAGATCTGAGAATTTTTTTCCCGTTGAATTTCTTTTTCTTTCCCATTGAGATCTCAGCAGATGCGTAGGATAGCAGGGAAAGAATCGCCTGCTATCTTACGCTGTAATTGCTCCAACCATAATAATAATAAGTTAGAAACTCCAGTGGTCATCTGTTTAAAAGGTAAGAAACGTCGGTAGTCATCTGTTTCAAAAATAGTATGGTGTAAGTATTAATCCGTAAATTCAAGAGTTCTCTCAACTTTGGTCAACAACTGTCCAATAGGCAATATTTAAGATTATGCAAAATGTTAGAATATATTAACGTAATTCTACATCTTCATCTGTACAGGGAAACAAAACTGTTGAAGAGAAGGCAGAAGACGAAGCAGTAGATTCACAGATGCAAGAATTGGTACAATGTGTGCTTCAAAATTCAGATGGTTCAAGCAATCAATCCAGGCAAACATTCCTCTCTGTTGCAAAGAGCTACTATTATGCAGCTCATTGCCCGCCAAAAACTCTCAACAACCATATCACCAAGGTGCTATTTGAGCGTGTCGTGTGATACATGAGGCTTGTCCTGACCTTGTTAACACGGT